TGTCGTGTAAAAGTTGTGCGAACGTGTTCTTTCGATATCGTGGAACTGGCTGTAAGCCTGGCCATTTTGCAACAAAAAAATACTATGGTATCCCGAACAAAAAAGCCAACACTGTTCTCCAGAATAATTAATTTTCAATAAATTATTTTAATTTCAAAAATATATGTTTTTTGAATTTGGATTATCAAATTGAAAATGCAGACGAATAGTTCTTAAAACATTTAATTTTAATGCTGTCACATCATTCCCCTGAATGTATAGTTGTTAGCTGTTGGTCCTTATCTCTCAACCCTGCAAGCAATCGCTAGAAAATCGCGGAAAGGCAACATCACTTTCAAGTTGAAACCAAACCGCATACATACATAAAGTATTTTACATTTTGCAATTTTAGGAAACATGAAATATTGTATTTTCAGATTAAAAGAAACCTTTTGCAATTCAAATGAAACTTTTTGCAGCGGCAATGAAACCTTTTGCAGTGTAATTGAAACCTTTTGCAGTGGAAATGAAGCCTTTTGCAACCGAAATGAAACCTTTTGCAACCGAAATGAAACCATTTGCAACCGAAATGAAACTTTTTGCAAATCAAATGAAACTTTTAAATTTATAGAAGGAAAAATAACAAAAAATTTTTGCTTTTAGTAGTTTTCAAATTAAATCAATTAATTATAACTTATATATTGACAAAGAGGATTTTTTTATTGATTATAAATATCTACATTTATTTATATTATTTCTTAAATTTTCAATTATTGTAATAACTAATGGTTCTTTATTGATTTGATATAAAATGCTTTCATATTATTAAATTCTAAATGCTTAACGCTAAAAAGAGAAATTTAAACAAATTTTGGCCTTTATAGGTATGGCCAGGACTGAAATGTGAAATTAAGCTTTACCACAAATTTTTATAGTTATAGTATACTATTAATCTTACCTAATAAAGGATTCCCGCTTCGCAGCTTTATTGATTATGGAGATAGAGCAGTCGTGATTTCAATAGACAGATTGTATATACTTTATGGGGTCTTCGACGAATATTTAGACTTGTGTTTTATGGAAGCTTTATGCTAGAAACACAATTGGAGCGAACGACGAATTTTTTCGCGGCGTATGTTCGTCGTCAAAAATAAAAAACATGTGTGTATATGGAAGTGCACACAATCACGGCGCCGGCGAAAATTTCGTCGGTCGCCGCGAACTCAATTAGCTTTATTTCTATTTCATACGCCGGCGAACGGCGACAAAACAGTACAAGGTGGCCATACTTGTACGAATTTTATGTGTTTTAGTACATAAAGTTACTTTTTACTTTAAAATTTGTTATGGTCACTCTACTATCTGTTATTCGTATAAAAAAACATAAGTTATTTGTTTATTTATTTGTGCACTTGCGCCTGAGTGAAGATGGATATCAGTGAATTTATAATAGAGAAGATGGACATAACTGAAATTGTAAAGAATTATGAGTTCTTGTATAATTTTCATTGTAGTCAACAAATGAGCAAAAAGTAAACAACTTCATCAGCTGTTTTATAATTTCGTCGGTATTGTGTTCCATACGACGAATTTTCGCGGCTCATTTTGTCGTCGCGTAGGGCGAAATTCGTCGTTCGCTCCAATTGTGTTCCTAGCATTAAGAAAAAAATTTATAAAAACATAGATATTAATAATAAATAAAAATTCCTCTTTAACTATATATTAGGTATAATTAGTTGATCTAATTTTAAACCTACTAAAAATAAAAATGTTTTGTTATTTTTGCTTCTAAAAATCTAAAAGTTTCATTTGATTTGCAAAAATTTTCATTTCGGTTGCAAAAGGTTTCATTTCCACTGCAAAAGGTTTCCTTTCCACTGCAAAAGGTATCAATCCCACCGCAAAAAGTTTAATTTGAATTGGATTTTAAGAATTAATTTCTGGTTTAGAAAATTTAGTGGGGGTGGCAACATTGACAGCGGTGTCGACTATCGAAGTAAATATTTTAACTGCATTGTCAATTTCATCTCCGGACTTTAGGAAAGTGTTAGGATTCACAGGTGTACTGAAGATTTTCCGTAAGAATTTTTGTTCTATTTAATTCGTTGGTTCCTCTTCTATTGAGTTTACGATCTCGTCACTTGGGTTAAAAATGTTTTTTGTCATAGAAGTTATTTTTAAAATAACTTCTTGGGAGAATATCCCAGACAAAAACAAAGGAACAAGGGAAAGAGATTAACAGCCTGTTCCACGATCTCGAAAGAAAATTTGTGCGAACGGAGGCTACTCACTCACTTTCGTATAAGAATGCGTTCCACTAACTTTCGTTCTTTCTTTCGCATAGCCTTACGTGATTCAGTGTTGCTAAATATTTTTTGGAAAAATTAATCGCGAAATAAGGCAAAAAAAGCGCCAAATGTCTAATTTAAACTCGAAAAAGCAGCTGTGGCTCTGTCTCAACTGACAGTTCAGTTGTAAACAAACAAATTGTAAATAAACAAACAAAATAAAATTTCTAGTGATTGTATTCAAACTATTTGTGTTCTTAAAAAATAAAAAAATGAATATTTCCGTAGCCCTATTTTTTATGGATGATGTGGAGGAGGTTCAAAATGTGCCACGGAGATGATTGATGATTTTTTCGTGCTGGAATTGAGAAAATAAAAAAAAATATATTTGTTGTTCACATATTAAATTGCATTTTATTTTTACTTATATTTTTGTTTCCATTTTAAATCAAGCAATGTTTATGTTAAAACAATTTTCCTTAATTTTTATCATACGACAGCAAACACACAAGTGACTGATTTTGACATTTGTGTTCGCATGCGTACGAAAGAAAAAAGATAGTGGAACGCAAAATTACACTGAAAGGCTTACGTTTTCGTTCGCTTTGATTTTCGTGCAAATTTTCGTTCTGATTGATTTAAGTGGAACGGAAATCAGCTGTTTGTCGTGTAAAAGTTGTGCGAACGTGTTCTTTCGATATCGTGGAACTGGCTGTAAGCCTGGCCATTTTGCAACAAAAAAATACTATGGTATCCCGAACAAAAAAGCCAACACTGTTCTCCAGAATAATTAATTTTCAATAAATTATTTTAATTTCAAAAATATATGTTTTTTGAATTTGGATTATCAAATTGAAAATGCAGACGAATAGTTCTTAAAACATTTAATTTTAATGCTGTCACATCATTCCCCTGAATGTATAGTTGTTAGCTGTTGGTCCTTATCTCTCAACCCTGCAAGCAATCGCTAGAAAATCGCGGAAAGGCAACATCACTTTCAAGTTGAAACCAAACCGCATACATACATAAAGTATTTTACATTTTGCAATTTTAGGAAACATGAAATATTGTATTTTCAGATTAAAAGAAACCTTTTGCAATTCAAATGAAACTTTTTGCAGCGGCAATGAAACCTTTTGCAGTGTAATTGAAACCTTTTGCAGTGGAAATGAAGCCTTTTGCAACCGAAATGAAACCTTTTGCAACCGAAATGAAACCATTTGCAACCGAAATGAAACTTTTTGCAAATCAAATGAAACTTTTAAATTTATAGAAGGAAAAATAACAAAAAATTTTTGCTTTTAGTAGTTTTCAAATTAAATCAATTAATTATAACTTATATATTGACAAAGAGGATTTTTTTATTGATTATAAATATCTACATTTATTTATATTATTTCTTAAATTTTCAATTATTGTAATAACTAATGGTTCTTTATTGATTTGATATAAAATGCTTTCATATTATTAAATTCTAAATGCTTAACGCTAAAAAGAGAAATTTAAACAAATTTTGGCCTTTATAGGTATGGCCAGGACTGAAATGTGAAATTAAGCTTTACCACAAATTTTTATAGTTATAGTATACTATTAATCTTACCTAATAAAGGATTCCCGCTTCGCAGCTTTATTGATTATGGAGATAGAGCAGTCGTGATTTCAATAGACAGATTGTATATACTTTATGGGGTCTTCGACGAATATTTAGAGGTGTTACAAACCGAATGACACATTTAATGTATCCTCCTTTCCATGGAGGAGATTATAAAAAGGTACCTAATTTGGGTCCTTTGAAAAAAATACCTTGAAAAACTTTTTTCAATCTTTCCGCATCTACACTTGTGTTTTATGGAAGCTTTAAGAAAAAAATTTATAAAAACATAGATATTAATAATAAATAAAAATTCCTCTTTAACTATATATTAGGTATAATTAGTTGATCTAATTTTAAACCTACTAAAAATAAAAATGTTTTGTTATTTTTGCTTCTAAAAATCTAAAAGTTTCATTTGATTTGCAAAAATTTTCATTTCGGTTGCAAAAGGTTTCATTTCCACTGCAAAAGGTTTCCTTTCCACTGCAAAAGGTATCAATCCCACCGCAAAAAGTTTAATTTGAATTGCAAAAGGTTTCATTTAATCTGAAAATGCTATATACGAATATATTATTTAACGTGGTGTCGCTGTTTAACCGCAGAAAAAAGTATCCGAACCATCGCCTTTGGCGTTTTCTTAAGTACAACGGCGATTTTTCTATTATTGGGCATAAAATAGGTTTACATTACCCTGCAGTGAATTTTTATATTAAAAGGGTATACCTATTATTATCAAGAAATGGAATTAAATCACAAAACGTCATATCGAGTTTGACACTAGTATTACTATAGAGTCAAATCAGCTGGGACTTGCTGTTACCTGTAACAATTGTACCATGGTTCGCTCAGCAAATTTTGTATGGGGTATTAAGTGTTAGATAATTGATGGTCGAATAACATGGTAGAAGAATATAGGTAGACGCATCGACACAGCTGGTGGGGAGAAGAACTGTCAAACCAATTTTGGAATTGAAAATGTTGAATGAAAAATTATTTAAATGTGTAAAATTTTCTGAAAAACACGTATTATAAGAACCTCCGAAAGACGTCCTATAAGAAAAGACATTTAAAATATTTTGAGATATCAATGTTCCCAATCGTGGAAGCCATGGCCCAATTATACTTGGATCATGAACAAGGAATAGAGAGCGAATCACGTTCCATGTGAATTTAGCATTACTGGGTTAATGTTACTGGGAAAGTAAACGAACGAACCTACTGTTTATGCCAGTTAATTCAATGTGTTGCCGACACCAAAATATATAAATCGATTGTGCGAGATCGACCGATATTATTTATATTATTTCTGTTTGTGTTATGCGCTTTTCCAGAACCTGATAGAAACTGCAAATTTTTCAATTTCAAGGTTTTTGTACACACACATATTTCTATGTTGGCTATCGAATTTTATACAAAGAGTGAGTACTTCTTGGAGTTGTCTGTTAGTTATGTGGCTTACGTATTGTTATGTTTTATAGATGGATTTTAACAAGAATAATAAAAGCGAATCTAGAGAAGATACTTTAATTGAAAGGGATGCTGCTCCTATTTGCGACGAGTTGTTGCTGGAGAAATCTCCTATATGTGATTCAGCGCCTGGCGAAATGTCCGAACAATCACAATATAACACATTAAATGTTCACAACGACAACCAAAGAGTTTTAATGCAAATTTCAAATGCAAATTCGGTACACTTCGGACATGTTATAAACATAAACAGTGGTAAATCCGAAGTTTGCGAATCTAAGCGTGAGGACACGTCGTGTAGTCATAAACATTTTAAAACAAAAACGTTTAATAAAAAAACAACAACCATTGACATTATGATGAATTCTTTGGATAAACCTACACATAAAATTATTGATGCAATAGCTACGCACCTCGGCAGTGGATGGAAAGACGTTATGAGGGTTTTGGGGTTCTCTGATGGCCAAATTTCTCAATCGGAGCTAGATAATCATCTTCACGGAACAAAGGAGGTAATTTAATTCGGGGCATTTTGTAAATATATATTTGCGTAACCGGTGTTGTACATACCCCAGTCTCACAATTGGAAAAACTCATTCGTGTCCATTAAAAAGAGGCATTTCAAATTGTGTTACCAAACTATTATTTTAACAAGGACATGTCGCGTGAAATAAAGGCTTAAGTGAAAATTTTACCACGTGTAGATCTTTAAAACCCGGTTATTCGACCCGGAAGATCGGATACAAAATCAGGGTTTTATCCGGTCCTACAAAACTGATTTATTGGTTTCAATCGGTTCCTGAGATGATGTGATCATGTTAAAATACATACATGTGGTAAAAATCTCATGTGCGAGCATAGCCTATAAATTCAACACAAGCCTTAATTTTTGAGCTTGGGAAATTAAGTGGAATATATCAAATGTGATTTTAAAATATCAAATGTCGTCAAACCCATTAGGATTACGTAGTCCATTGTCGTAGATTTCTAAGTAGAGTAATATGTATGTATCCACGGCTTCAAAGTTGTCGTTCGTTTAAGAAACTGGGTTAAGATTGATTGAACTATGTGCGACTGTAGAAACTAATTTGTAGCGTTAGCCCTCTTATCCCTTATTAACTCACAAAAAGTCAGGTTTGAAACGTGCTTATAAAACACAGCGGCAAAAAAAAGCAAGGCCGTCCTTAAACATAAGAAATTCCCATTATAGAATGAATTGATATATTGTATTCAATTGTGGCTAAGAGGATAGTTTCCTCGATATCGTCTAACTACTGGCCAAGTTTAAGACGCTCGATATTTCAACAAGTGTACTGTGGAATCCCTCCACCTGACTATTTGATGTACTTCGTGGAGCAAAATAATTCTTCAACATACTTTTAATAGTGTGTGATTTAAGCGACTTTTGTCACAATAAATAATTTTCGTATTAGATAACGTGTTTAGTAACTGTAGGACCTGTGGCTTAACATCCAATATTGCTCTGGACTTTAAAGTTTGTGTAACCGCAAACTTCGAAAAATTATCAATGCAAGTCAGAAATCTGGTTACGGAATTTATGGGTTTATCAGTTCTTCCTATAGTATTGGTTGAAGATTTCTCACTGTGAATTGTCTCCACAGTCGCATCATCCAAAGTATTTAAGTCCTGCTTAGACAATGCATCAGCAACTACGTTTTCCCTATCCGGATTGTAAAAAAGTTTTGCATTGAATTTATCAAGAAAAGTTTTCCGTTTGTAACATCCTTAAATATTCGTCGTAGACCCCTTAAATTATATATATTCATAATCAGCATAAAATTCTAAATCGATTTAACGATTTCCGTCTGTCTGTCTGTTGAAATCACGATATAGCCCACATTATTTGACGTAGAGCGCCAAAATTTAGCAGAGCAATTTGTATTGTGTCTAGGATGGTTGGTATTGAAAAATGAGATATATCGGTCCACGTTCTGGTATAGTCCCCATATAACGGTACCTCCCGATATTCGGTATTTTGATGATTTATGCCACATTTTTTCACGGATTTGTCTGAAAATTTGTATTTGTACGTCATAACGTGTCCCTGTGAGTGTGGAAAAACATTGCACGTTTTGGTATAGCCCCCATATAAAGGTACCTTCCGATATTCGGTATTTTAATTTTTTTTGCCACATTTTTTCACGGATTTGTATAAAAATTGGTATTTGTTGGTCATAATGGGTTCCAGCTCCAGTGGCGAAACATTGCATGTATGGGTCCATGATTTGGTATAGCCCCCATATAACGGTACCACCAGATATTCGGTACTTTCATGGTTTTTGCATAATTTTTTCACTGAATTGTCTAAAAATTGGTATTTGTGGGTCATAATGGGTCCTAGTTCTTGTGGCGAAACATTGTATGTATAGGTCCACGTTTTGATATAGGCCCCATATAACGGTACCTGCCAATTTTCGGTATTTTGATAATTTTTGACACATTTTTCAAGAATTTTTCTGAAAATTGGTAGTTGTAGATCGTAATGGGTCCCAGTTCGTGTGGCGAGTCATTGTAATTATAGGTCCACGTTTTGGAATAGCCCCCATATAACGATACCTCTCCATATTCGGTAATTTGATGATTTTTGCCACATATTTTCACGAATTTGTCTGAAAATTGGTATTTGTAGGTCATAATGGGTTCTAGCTCCTTCGGCGAAACATTGCATGTGTAGGTCCACGATTTGGTATAGCCCCCCATATAACGGTACCTCCGAATATTCGGCATTTTAATGGTCTTTGCCACATTTCTTCTAATGTTTCCTTTACCCTAAGGTGGAGGGTATTAAAAGTTTGGCCCGGCCGAACTTAATGTTTCTACTTGTTTATACCTTCCACCATAGTTTGGAGGGTATAAGTTTGTCATTCCGTTTGTAACACCTCGAAATATACATTTTAGACCCCACAAAGTACATACAGGGTGAGTAAAACAAAACTGCAACAAAGTCAAACGCCATAATTTTTACATTTTTTTTAATTTTATTGAATGAGAGCAAAAAATGTCGGAAATAGCATCAAATTTTATAAATAGTTTAGATTTGTTCGAATTGGCACGAATTATGGCCTTTAAACGACCAATGAAACCGTCACACGCTGTCCGAATGTTGCTCTGCGGTATTTTTGGCCTATTCCCGGCGAAGCGCTTGCTTGGGGTGAAGAAAACTTTGATATTTTTAAGGCCAAACTTGCTTTCCATCAGCTGATATGGCGGTCCACACCACCACCTGGCCGGCGCTTGTGTTCTGGTGGCCAACCGAAGGTGCACATTTTCAACTGACCTCTTTATTATGTAAACACGATCATTTTGTTTGTTTACAAACTGCTGGACAACGAATATTTTCTCATCGGAGAAAACCAAAGTCGGCAGTTCACAACATTCGGCCAAGCAAAGCAACTCTTATGCTCTTTTGAGTCAATTTTCTTTCAGTTGCGGTGTAAGTTCTTGCACTTTTTGGAGTTTCAATTTTTCAATATTTGCGGAATAGAATATTGTGATATGTTCAGCTCACGAGCCACTGCGACGCGGGTTTCGATCAAGTCGCTTCTTTACTTTTCGAACCATTTCTGCTGATGTTGATGTTTTCTTCCGTCCACTTCCTTGACGTCGGGCTACGCTACCAGTATCACGGTAACGAGCGATGGTACAAGACACAAAAGAGTTATTCACATATAAATACTGGAGTGCTCTAACGATAGCCACTTGTGGTTTTCCAGTTAAATATAAAGGAATCATGAATTTAATTTAATGAATTTAATCACACAGAACTTTTTCTCTGGAACATTCCCACCAAAATGCTTTTGTACGCTTGTAAACAATATGATGAGCTGTCACTGGAATTATTTTAACAGCTGTCGGACAAGTGGCTTAGATATGACAGGAGTCTGAAGTTGGTTGCAGTTTTTTCATCTCACTCTGTATATTCTTGATCAGCATAAAATTCTATGTCGATTTAGCGATGTCCGTCCGTCTGTGGAAATCACTCTAGCTTCCGAACGAATGAAGTAGGTTGATAAAATTTTACTCAAATGAGTGTTATGTCTGCCGGACTTTTGGTATTGAAAATGGGTGATGTAGGACCACGTCTTCGTATATCCCCCATATAACGGTACCTCCCGATATTCGGTATTTTGATGCTTTTAGCGACATTATTAACCGGAATTGTTTCAAATTTGGTGTTTGAAGTTCGTAATGGATACTACAGCCAATGACAAAAAATTGTCTGTGTAGGTCCCCAATATAACGGTACCTCCCTATATTCGGAATTTTGATGTTTATTCACCGATTTTTTTATTCAAGCTTCGCATTTGAATAATGTAATGGTTTATGAGAAAGTGCTGCAGAATCTAGCCAAAAATCTGGCAACATCGTTATGAACAGCTGCTAAAAATTTTTTGAGCGCCGCAAAAAATAAATTATATTGAGGAAATTTTGTAGTTTTAAAACTAAAATTATATATTTGAAGTCACCTTGCTAACTTATTGAGTGCTTGATTGGTTTGTTTTTTGCCGCCTTTAAGTTGATAGAGCGCTGTAATGGCAACTGCAAATGTTTATAATTACCCTATTTGCCGTAAAACTATTGCCCGTGGTGTTTATAATGTGGGTTGTACTACATGTCCCAATTATTTTCATCCAAAATGCATTAATGTTGAGATTGCTCTGGTGAAGGCAGACAAAAATTTTAGGTATACGTGCGGGAAATGCCGTAGGCCATCTAACCAGCATGTACGTTCTTCGGCAGCAAGCAATGATGATGCTGGGAATCTTGGTGTTGATTCGTTAGCTGTCGGGCCTCGTCTGAGTGCTGAATCTGTGCCCGGAATTTCAATGGGTTTGTTTTTGAGAAGTTGTTCGAAAGGCTACAAGTGTCGATGAGAGAAGCTCTTGATGTGCAAATGAGACAATGTGTGGATGACTTTGCTGTATTAGTAAGACAACAACTTAATGAGCGGTTCGAACAATGTATGGTGGAATATGAGTCTATAGGGTGATGGGTGACGTGCGGTCGGAGTTTATTGAAACTTGTCGCAGGCTTAGTGCGGATATTTTGGTCTGTCAAACAAATGTGGATCGAATTCAAAATGAACTAAGTGACATCAAAAAGAAAATGTCGGAAATGGAGTGCGAGAGTCTTATTCGCCAAATTCGTTTGAATCGGCCTGATATTTTAATAAATGGGTTGCCGAAGGCTATACGCAATCTGCAGGAACCTGTTATGAAGATAGCGAGGCTTTGCAATGTGGAGCTTAACCCAAGCGATATTCAGCACCCTTGCTACATTTTTTGTGGAAAAACAGTCTTTGTAAAATTAATATTTGTTCACATGAGAGATGTAATTATGCCAAATTACCACCGGGTGAGCTATATTGCATTGAATAATGTGGTCAATACTCATATCGCCTCCAGGGTATACTTGAATGACCACCTTACTTCTCCGGCTGCCAAGCTTGTTTTTAATTCCATTCATTCTGTTTCTCGACAGCTTGATGTGG